CCACTATCTGCTATGCCATAGCTGATGGAAGAGCCGGAGTAATCGCCCAAAATCCCATCCAGTTTCCTCAAAAAATTCCTGCACCCTCGCAGATGTGTGCTGTCTGTGTGGGAAAATAGATGTCAATGTAGAATCACCCATCCAACAATCATGCCAAAAGAAGATTTGCCCTAACCCAAGGCGCCACGCAATGTGTGTCTCAGCGCATGACCCAAATTTCTTTAGTATTTTCCCAATAGTAGAGGCTGAGTAAGGAACTGCTGCAAGCGATGGAGGTGCCCCTCTACAATATTTACCCAGTAAAAACTGAGCCCAAAGAGAACTCTAAGACCTGAACAGCCACCATAGTTTCAATGAAAATGTGTCCACCGTATACTGTAATCGTCTAAAGCCCAGACCTCCCTCGTCAACAGGAAGGCAAATCGCCTTCCAACTCCGCCAATGTAGACGACGCGCCTGATCCTTAGAATCTCATAGGAATCGCGCAAAAATACTCTCCAACCTTTTCAGAATGACCTTAGGAGGTCGCATAATCTGGAATAGATACAGTGGTATAGAGGAAAGGACAGTCCTCAGTAGAGTAATCCTACCACCAGGAGAAAAAAGGCGTGCAGCCCATCCAGAAATCCTATTCCTGACCTTCATAATGAGATCATCATACAGAAAGCTTCTCTTAGCCCCTTTAAACAAAGGGACTCCCAGATATGTGAACGGCTATTTCTGATGTGAAAATCCAGTTTGCTCTCAAAGATATGGGCGAGCTTCATCATTTCCTAGGCATAGAAGTTCATAGGCATAGTGCAGGAATCCATTTGACTCAATCACAGTATATATGTGAGTTGCTCAAAAGATTTGATCTTCAGAACATCAAACCATGTCCTACGCCTAGTGCAGTTGGAAAAATAATGTCTTAAACCGAAGGTGAAGTCATAAAAAATCATTCAGTCTACAGGAGTGTTGTTGGAGGTCTCCAATATGTGTCACATACCAAGCCAGATATAACCTTTGATGTCAATAAACTCAGTCAATTCCTACAGGAACCAACATCAGTATAATGGCAAGCAATGAAGAGAGTCTTAAGATATCTAAAAGGCACAATCAATCAAGGACTATGGATCAAAAGAAGCTATAATCTGATGATAATCGGCTACTCTGATGCAGACTGGGCATCGTGCCCTAATGATAGAAGATCGGTGGCAGCCTACTGCATTTATCTAGGAGACAGCCTAGTATCTTGGTCGTCTAAGAAGCAACATGTTGTCGCAAGATCTAGCATGGAAGCAGAATACATAGCTCTTGCCTTTGCTGCGTCTGAAATAGCATGGATACAGTCGCTATTTAATGAGCTCAAATTACAATCAACCTCAATTCCAATTATCTGGTGCGACAACCTCAGTTCTGGAGCCTTGGCAGCCAATCCTGTGTTCCATGCTGAACAAAGCACATTGAATTAGATGT